TTTTTGTTAGAGACTGAGTCCACTTTGTTAAACATTCTTTTAAAATGAAAGTTTGTTGATTTATTACACTTACACATTACACTTTTATAATTATTAGTTGTAAAACGGTCACCAGGCAATATTATCGTTTATCGCAATAAATTTTGAGACAATTAATCGCCCAGCAAAATTTGTTATCGTGACAGGCCTAGGCGGCAGAGGGATTATGGAGAAGTGAACGGTGTGTAATCTAGTACTTACAGTTTAATTATGTGAGGGTGCCTAAAAAGCTTCAGGTTCTGGATCTCCCTACGAATTTTTCCCACCACGTCCAAGCTGCGGATCTTCTGCCGGTTCAAGATCTTCACTGCCACTTGGTGCTTGGTGAGCTCATGCTGGCCCACTGCAGGACGAACCCATAAACACATGTACATTACAGAATTCAAAACAGTCACAAAGCAAGAACAACTGAAAACTGGAGTTGTCTTTTTTATATATATACTCAGTGTTTTTTCTAGCTTATTTACATGTGGCAGACAGTGAACAACAACTATGTTTATTTTGAGTCATGTCACTATTTGCCTGTCAAGTTAAAGTCCAAAGTTCACATTCCTTTTAACGTTTTTATTTTTATTTTTTGTAGCTCTACAACAAATCCAGAGGGAAACATCAAACTGCTGTCTGATGAAATAAAAAGGTGTTTATTGTGTCTCTTAGCTCAAATACGACGCCAAATACATCTAGATCTAATAAAACCACACATAACCCATATTAAAGTGTAACGCTGAAAAACCTCACAGTAAACATAACGCAAAGATTAGTTACTCTCCTGAGGGGAGCTCCTAAATATGTTTGTATTTATCTAAAAACAAAGACAGGGAATGAAAACATATGCAAACAAAAAAAAATCATGCTGAAACAAAACTTTAAACCCATCTATAGAAATGCTTTATAAAAGCCAGATGGACTGAGGAGCAAAGAGTATTAAACTTGAGAGGTATTTCATCAGAACAGATGGTGAAATATTCAATCTGCAAGGCTCTAAAACCATTATCAAAGGGCATCAACTCCAGTGAACTGAGGCTGTGTTTTCCCTTCAACAACAACAAATAGCATGAGAGTGCAGGAGAGATGAGTCACTGGAAAATAAGTGTAAACAGAACCAGTAGTTGTCCTGACTTCTTGCTTTGGATGGGGTTGGTACATTTAACTTTATTTTAGGCACAAAATAATGTTTCCATGAGCCAAAAATGTTTATTAAAAAAAAGGTACACAGCTGGCATATCCGGTCAAGGAAAACTTGAGCAAGTCACAGTGTTATTGACCCCTTTGTTACAACTCGTGACAACACTAAGCGTATAGTTTTTCCAATTCTGCTTAAACAACCACACTTAAAAGCAAAAACATTACATCGACATTAAAACAGAAGCTGGGGGAAAAACCGTAATGACGTGCTTCTAAATTAATACTGAAAACGGGGAATGAAAGTAGCGCCAACACCAGTCAGGAAGGCTTCCCAGTGATTCTCTGAGCAGACTTGTGGCTCACACACAGGCCAGTTTAACAGTGCTGCACATACTAACTGGTGTTAATGAATCACTCAAACAATCATTTACCAGTTGTTGTGTAGCTAAATAGCTCTAACGCGTTAGGTTTGATCACAAATAAACCGAATGAAAAGCATGACAAGATATATGTTACATTCCTGGCTTAACGACAGTTAGCCTCCAGTCACTGGGAGCTAGTTAGCAGCTAAGCTAAAAAAGCGACACCGTGCTTCAGCTGGCAGGATGTACCGACAGTGGAAGTCAGGCTTACCTTTAACCTTTCCAAACGTCCCCACTCCGAGTGTGTCCCCGAGAATGTAATGTCCGATTTTAACTCTTCCTTCGTGTTTTTGTTTGTCCGTCGCCATCTTCCCGCAGTGGCGTTTCTCTAGCTGCAGGCGGAAACGGAGCGAACTCAGCTGTATGTGTGCGTCTCTCTAGCGGCTGTCTAGCGGCTCCTCTCCGGCTGCACGGAGAGTGGAACGCGCCCCGGCTTGTGCGTGATTCGTCGGAAGTGCGGAAGACGTAAAACGTTGCCTTCACGGCACGCCGACAGCTCGGAAATATTTCGGAAAACATGAAAAAGTCTTTCCACCACCTACAGTGACCTTATTGATACGCATGTGTGACTCTTCTTCACAGTGTTTTTATATGTCACAAATTCATAGGTATTTTGCCCTCCGGTCATTTTTTTTCAACCAGGCATCACGCTGCTATCAACAGATGGGAAGTTTACCATAATTACATTTGAGAACAAGATTTTCCCTTTTTTGTGAATGCCTCATTGTGAATGGAGAAACCTATGCTGTTGTTGAAACTTGAGCTGGGACTAACTTGAATGCACAAGCTGGAGTGGATGTAGTTTGTTTCTACTGTTACCTCTAAATTTGAGTACTGAAAATAAAAATAAATAATAATAAATAGATATTAATACTTAAAATATTTATACAATTTTATCCACTTGATGAAGCCTATTCAATTAATCTAATTATTAGATTAGTCCCTTGTTTGATGCTAAGCTGAACACATTAAACACAACATGGAATTTATAATGTAGTCTAGCATATCTTTCTGTAGATCTAAACAAAAAAAACCCACTTTTACAGTGCACACAATAATGGCAAATGTGCAGGAAAGCACTGCATATTTTTTAAATCTTTGTTTACATAGATTGCATGTGTGTTGTTTGAAATCATAACCACAGCAGTGTACTAACCATGAACTCAGAAACGTTATGCTGATCCATAATCCACACTATTCATACTTCATTCATACGCCACAAAGGACAGGCAAACATTAGAAACAGAAAAAGAACCACAGCTGTATTGGTAAACCATATTTAAACAGGCTGCTGTGTTGACTGTCAAGTAACTTTTTATTTAAAAGCTCTTACCCAAATTTCACATCTAACCTTGTTTGTTCATTGTTATGACTCCAAAGTTTAAAACCTTAAAAATGACACCTATTTTGAAAGAGTGAGGCAAAATATAGAAAGGAATATATTTAAAGCAGACAAGTTTTAAATGACTATAAACTAGCTGTAATTAGGATAAAACTTAATCCTATTGCACTATGTTGCATACTAAATAGTAATATTGCTGTGTAATGTTATATGTAAATACTGTATGTCATTTGTAGCTGTAGAAATGTTTTAAATAGAGGGTACTGCAAGTATGTGTGAAAAATTATTAGGGATGGACCAAACAGGAGCTTAATTGTCATCATTAAAAAGTAATTCTCGTGAGATTTACATACGCATTGGTGGATGCTTATGTATACTTCTAAAAAAGTAATAATAAAGGGAACAAAAAGAAAAAAATTGTATAGATCTTCTGGACGGGTTCTTCTCTAATGAAACGTTTCGTCTCTTCTCCAAGAGACTTCTTCAGTCTGAGAGTTTCAGGCAAAATTTAGGTTTTTAAGCCCTGCCTCCATGTGACTGATACTCACATCACATGGCTATCGTTGACACTTAATTAAACGTCACCTGTTTCAGAGAAACTGAGACGTTTATTTTCTAAACATGATGTCCCAGTGGCTTTCAAACCCCAAAACACATTACGGCAAAAGCTGGTTCACCCCATAGGTCCGGTGCCCCGGCACAAACAGAGCAATGTTGTATATGCTGTTAAGTGCCAGGAGGACTGCGACCAGTTATACATCGGGGAAACAAAGCAGCCACTGTTCAAAAGAATGTCCCAACACAGACGAGCTACGTCTAATGGCCAGAACTCTGCAGTTTTCACTCATTTACAGGCCAGCAGTCACTCTTTCAGAGATGAGGATGTTCTCATTCTTGATAGAGAGGAACGTTGGTTTGAGAGAGGAGTAAAAGAAGCCATTTTTGTGAAGAAAGACCGTCCATCATTAAACAGAGGTGGAGGCCTCCGTTTTCAGTTGTCCCCCTCCTACAGTACTGCTATTGCCAGTATCAATCCACCCCCTGTTAACAATAGGTGTTAATTAAGTGTCAACGATAGCCATGTGATGTGAGTATCAGTCACATGGAGGCAGGGCTTAAAAGCCTGAATTTTGCCTGAAACTCTCAGACTGAAGAAGTCTCTTGGAGGAGAGACGAAACGTTTCATTAGAGAAGAACCCGTCCAGAAGACCTGTACAATTTTTTTTCTTTTTGATTTTTTACCTGGATTACTGAGATGCATCAGGACAATAAAGGGAACACTCAAACAATACATCCTAGATCTGAATGAATGAAATAGTTCTAAGTAAATCAAATTTCTGTTAAATCAAACTCTTCACTTAAGAAGCGACACTGATTGACAAAACACATTCAGCTTTTTACAGAACAAAGTATTCAATGAGAATATTTCATTCATTCAGATCTATGTGTTATTTGCGTGGTCTCTTTAATTTTTTGATCAGTGTATAAGTGGAAAGAAGATAAAATCAAGCAACTTCATTTGGCTGGTCATTTTGTTTTTTTCTGACACAAGAAGGAATGTGCCAGTTGTGTTTTATTCTGGGAACCAGTACATGGCCATTGGTCACAGAGGAAGAAGATGACCAGTAAAGCATCAGCAGGCTGAAGACTGATACAGGAATCATTGTTCCTGAAAAGAAATCGGCCACGATGGATCAGAGCGTGTGGTGAGACATGGGGATCGATGAAATCCAATATATTTTTGTTAGCTTTTATCATGCAAAAAGGTGGGTGCTTTAGCACCTTTGGTACTCCCAGTTCCCACATCATTTACATACTGTATGTGCAGTTGTAGGAATTGTCCATCTATTGCCTGAATTTTAAAAGATTGCATAAAAACAATAAAAAATGCAAACAGGACATGTCACCAAAAGAGAAAAACAACATTTTTAAAGAATGGATACAGATTTAACCCCTAAGGATTGTGATTGGGTGAATGGTTAAAAATAATAACAATAATGATAATAATAATAATGCATATGGGAAACCCCCCCCATTTGCAACACTCTGGGCACTTGAACGTGGCCCCTCAGGTACTCTCAGGGCACCAACAATAGCAGCCCCCTGCTCCCCTTGTGTATTCACATGCATGGGAAAAATGCAAAGATGGTTGACTCTATATAAGGCAGTTGAAGAGGGTGTTTTAAATAATAGGAAAACTTAATGTTCAGCTCAGACTGAGACCAAACAATGCTTTGAGTGTCCAACAGATGGCAATGTCCATTCATGAAAAGAATAATCACTGCACAGTATTTATCAAGCCAAATTAGAACCATTTGTTTTTAAATAAACATAGCATATATTTGACCAACAAAAACTGAGTAAATACCTCAGAAAGTGTTTTTTTTTTTAACAGAAGTGAGACAAGTATTAAAACGTGTTGAAAAAGTTCATAAATGTCACCCAAAGCAGGCCAGGGATCAGTGTTTGCTGACCTTATTTTTAGTTCCTTTTCACAGAATCTTAGCACTCTTATTTTTGACAGAGGCTCCAAGTTCCCTGACAGTTTATTACATGCTACAGTGGTTATCATTTTAATTACTAAGGTGCTTATAATAATCCTACTAGGTCCACCTGTTAGCGTGCTCGTTAGAGCCTTGCCCATTATCCTCCATGCTGCTCCTCACCCCAGCAACAGTCCAAAGCAGCAGCACAAACAGCTTTCACACACTGCGCTGAAATTAAAGAACTGTTTGCACTCACAGTGGTGTATTTTCAGAGAAACATTTATTGCTCAAGTTTATACAGAGTGAAACCTCGTGATGGGGAAAACAGTGGCTGTTATGAATGTACAGATTTTTGATCATGTGAGAAAAAAAATGGAAAATGGTCATGCAATGTGCAGCCTGAGGTTTGTAAAACTGAATCACTCTCACTTGTATGTATTGGCACACAACTGCCAAAAATGCACCACATCATTTTCCAACACAACCTGTAGCTGCATTTCTCTTTAAAGACAGATTGAGGTTGGAAATAAAGTCCAGAGATATTACTCAAAATCAAATTACCGCTTTAATGTTTTTGTCTAATAAATGAAAACTAGCTTTAAAAGTTGTGCCTTGTGGAAAAGTCAAATATTTTTAAAAGATTATTTGAATAAACTCAGTTTGGAAATAAAAAGTTCAACTGGGATGGTTTCTGTGTTTTTGAATATGAAGAGGTTAACAAACAGTTTGTGTGTGGACAAAGACTACAACAGGAAAGGTTGTAAACTTCTCCACAGATTCCCACTTCAAAAAGAGCAAAACTTTCCCGTTAAGACGGTTTCAAATCTGCCAAATCAGCTCTGCAAGAAGTCAAAAGGCCAGTGTAAGAAAACTTTAATGCCTTTGGTGTCAAACAATTTACATCAACACTAAAATGTCATGTTTCTATGAGACGACAAACAAAACAAGCATGTAAACCATGTTATGTGTAGAAGTACCAATCTCACAACAGTTAGTGTAACTTATATAGGAAAATGTACAATAAACAGATGAATACAGAGGCACAAATGAAGGAAATTGGACAAAAAAAAAAGCCCAATATTATTCAAATATAAGTGGCTGATAAAATAACAATACAGACAAATCTTCCAGAAAAACACTTGACAAAACAGTGACTGGAAAATGGTGGAAACATAGAAACTAATATACACAGATGACAAAAAACAGTTCCGTCCATGTGATGAACCAAATCTCACCAAATATAAAAATGTTACAATGATGTTAAAATGACTTGTAAAGAATGTTTGTGCTCTTCAATCTTCCACCTTCTACAGTATCTGCAAGTTGAGGCACTTGAAAAGAATATGATTGTACTTCATGTAGTATGTACATTTGTACTGCTTGTGTGCCTTAGAAAACAAACTCCACTCATACAGAGCAGGTGCTTAACCTCACAGCTCGTCTCCAAACCACTAACAGAGTTCTAAAGTTCAAAAGAAATCTCCTCCTTTCTCTCAAATGTGAGGAAATATTCTAAATGGAGCAGAAGACGCTAAATTAATGACTCCTAATTTAAATGAGATGTTCAGGGTCAGACGATATGGAGACAAACCCAACCTGCATCCTCTGGCCTAACAGGAATTCAAGCTTGACTACTGATGGTAGTAAAAAAAGCATTAAAGGTTGGAAAAACTGCTCCTCATCTTGTAATTCTCCAAAAGTGTCCAACTCACACATGATTAAACTGGATACCCTTAAAATCCATAGAAAAGATGGAAAAGCAGCTTGTGAAGAGTCTTCCCTTAAAATATAACCATGAAACACTTAGTAAAAAAGTAACTTAGTCTGATTACATGTACAACTATCACTGCTACATTTGATTTATAGAAAAAAAACATAAATAATATTCACAGTCAGACATCATTTTGTGAATTTTAGGCTCAGTGTTCCAAATGACCAAACCTCATACACACGTCATATATTCACAAATGATCATCCCGGATCCCTGGTCCCACATCAATACGTCACATGCTATTCCACATATCCATGGATGGTCTCTGATACAGTCTGAAGACAGATGCCAAAGCTTAAGGCAGGCTGGTGATGTCCCGCTTCGGAGGGGGTCCGTCTGGCTTGCAGGGGGTGCTGTTGGCTTTATCTTCAAAAATTAAAATCCTGCGATGAGAAAAAGAGCCATAAAACAATGAGTCAGACACGAAGGCAACATTTTGTGTTTTCCCATGTGGCGTCACCACTTTAATAAGGTTTGTGTTTATACAAATATTCAACAAAGCAAAGTTATTATTCAAAACATAAAAACAGCCACATTTACTCTCATATGTTGTGTCTGACAGGAAAATGAGAAAAAGGAAATAAATTAAGTAAAATGGAGACAGACTTATTCACTTACATCTCTGGAACCTGAATATTCATCAGAACCTTTTTGCCCATATTCAAAATCTAAATATTTTAGATTTTCTGGACAACTCATTTTATGTTTGTAGCCTGGTGAGTAAAGGAGATTGTGCCTTGGCTGTATTGAACCCAAAACTGTACAATTTTCCATTCTGGATCAAGTTTTATCTTTTTACTTGCTTTTATACCTTATGTTTTACCATCTCAGATGATTTTATGTTTTAGGCTATTCAAGTCCTTGTTTTAATTGTACAGCATTATGGTAAACTTTGGTTGTTTTAAAGGTGATCTAAAAAGTTCTCCCATCTCCTGCCACTTATCCATAGTCAGGTCACAGATGCAACAGGCCCAGGAGAGAAACCCAGACATCCCTCTCTCCAGCTCGTCCTGGGGGATCCCAAGGCAGAGAGGTTATATAATCCCTCCAACAAGCCCTGTATCTTCCCCAGGGCCTCCTGCCAGTGGGATGTGCACGGAAACACCTATAAAAAAGGAGGCATCTTAATCAGATGCCCCCACCCCCCAATAATATTGATTTGCTAACAGTTTGTTCTTAAAAATAAATTTGTTGAAGTTACAGTATTTCTTTTCTAAAACTTTAAGCCTTAAATATATCAAATATAGTTCCATAATGTTTTGGACAAAACCATCGTGTCACTAGCATCAAATACATTTTAATTCAGCATTGTATATTTTTTTACATCAAAAAAGGGAAGTAACTCAGAAACAGTATGGAAAATTTGAAAGCTAATTAGAGCAATTGAATAAAAATATAAAAAAGGTGCAAAGAACAGATTTCCATGGATTAATAAATAGTCATTTTTAGAGTCTGTTTTAATTAAAAGGAAATGAAGAGTGGGTGCTTTGTTAATGGTTTATACTATCGGACAGGAGCTATTTAGAGCAAATGCCCGTCTTTAATTTCCTTTTCTGGAAAACTGGGCAAAGCTCCACTAAGCTCATAAGAACCAATGATCCCAATGAGGAATCTGACACACAGCAACTAAAACTATCTGTCAAACACTTAATTCTGTTTTTCTTTCCTTTCTTCCCCCACTCAGTGCAGCAGCCTGACCCGTAGTGATCACTACTGATAGATTGGCTGACTTTTGGCAAGGTATGTATTGCTGAATGTGGAGTATAGCTAAAAGCTGACCAAAATACTAATCAACACCATGAAGTACAGGCATGTACTTGGGCCTTGTTTAGTTCTGTTACAATCACTTGCTGCTACTTGTTAACCAGTCAGCAGGAGCCTCATTGGTCATTTAAAACCCAGTGTGATCAAACTACAAGAACTGTGTGTCCTTTAGTACTTGTGTGCTGCCCTAATGCTAACTGAGCCCAACTGTAGAGCCTGACCCAAATAGTTTTTCCTCTAATGGCAACAAAAATCAATGGTTGCCCTGCCAAATGCTGTGAAGAACAATATTCTGGCACGATTTTGTACCCTCAACTTCACCCTCTCATTTCCTCTCCCAGAAGACAAAAGGAGCGCCACGAATGAAAAGCTTTGCAGCCGTTTGTCGTTATCAGCAGGCCCAGAGAGCTTGGAAACTGTTTAAAAAGACTACGATATGAAGAGAACCACAAAGATACAATGTGAAATAGTGAAAACAAAGTACACTGACATGGCATGCAACCCATTCCAAAACAAAAACGTGTGGAGTGGCATATCACTTTCCTGGTTAAAACTATGTTAAACAGCATTTATGGAATGTGGAGATTATCTTACTGGACTTCTACCAAGTGGCAAGATTAGCAAGAGGAAATGAGACGTTTATAAATCTTGCTGTGGGATTATGGGATTCACTTTAAAAAAACGGGTGAAGGTAAAGTAGGGAAAGTTTTGCATTCTGCTAAATGTTGCTGGGATTACGGGATTTGTCTGGGGTCTGGCTAGCAGAGCTCAGGCAGCAGCCACGCTGACCCAGTGCAAGGCTGCTTTAAAAGGCTTACACCAGCTACATTAACTCATTACACAACAGACTCAAACAGGCTCTTATCCACCAGGAATTACTTTAAAAAACAACAAGTCAAGAGACAATTTATAATGTGAAGGATGAAATTACTAAGCAGGATCTGATGAGCTTTGGAGCTTTTTGTTTGCGCTTTATGACTGCTACTTGTTAATCAGCCTATAATCAGTTACATAAGCTCATGATCCCAGATTAATATAAGGGTGTAGTCTATGGATAGATGGGGTTTCCATGGTGATTGATGTAGCCAGGGTGTAGTGACATCACTGAGCCCCCTGCTGTTGGATGAAGCAGCTGACTGACACCACCGTCACTGTATGAACATACACTGAACCAGATGATGTTTTACAGCTGAACGTTAATCCTTTCTACAACAGACAAAAACATTCACTTACAATTTGAGCACAGCTGAGCGCTTGCCCAGCATCATTTTGACAAAGTCTCTGTAGTTGATGGTGTTGCTGCTGTCGCCGGTCACCTCCACCATCATTTTTTTCAACTCCAAGTGAGTCTTGGGCACCCCCAGCTTTTCCATCATCCTTTTCATTCCCATCATATCTGTGACAAAGTGACGAGAAATACATTGATAATAGGAAGGGACGAGATAATTTACTTACTTATGATGTTATTGCACAGCAAAACACAAGGTTTTTCAGAAATACTAGGGTATACATAGAAATACATAGGTATTTGTAAAAGTTTTATGAAAAAGGTACCATTTACAACAGAAGGCAGGCAGTGGTTTTTGTCACCCTTGGGTAAAACTAAAGTTTAACTTAATGAGAAGAAAACAATCAGGCATTGAAGTCTGATTAACAAATTAAATATGTTAACTTTTTTAAAACCACTGTTTTAGAACAGTAGTGTAGGTACCATAAATTACTAGAATATTTTATTTATTTAATTATTTTGCAGCAAATCTACAATTATCTTTCAAACATAATTGTGATCCATGAGCCAATGCATCCATGAGGTCATTAACAATATCAGTGCTCAAGTCACCCTCTTCATCTCTTGGTTATGTTGCATCATTTTATTCTGATAGTTGCTCAGAGGACAAAAACAGTTTGAAAGCTTCCAGTCAGCTTTCTGATGGCTGGAAATTTTCACCCAACTTCTGTCTCTTTCTAAAAATGACAAAGTCAACTGTTTGAAAATAAAAACAGTAAGCTAAGAAACAAAAAAAAAACTATACCAGAGGAGAGCTCAATCACTCTTAATGGTATCATTAATTTGAAACAAGCATTTGTAATAGTGCTGGGCGGTATACCATTTTGTACCGAATACTGGTTTTTATTTTTGTTATGATATGAATTTTTTGAATACCGGACATTCCGGTTTAAATAGCGGAACGTTTCGTCGCAGCCGCCAGTGAACCGTTGTTTTCCAGGGGACATTTTTCCTTGCTGCACCGCCATGAGCGTTAGCATGCTAATGTTTGGAGCTGCTAGTTGCAGCCGCGGGTGGTGATTCCGCTGCTTATATTGACTGACGTTTAAAAAAACATCCCATTTTTGCCGTCGCTGAATGTAGTAAACACCTCTTCAGTGACGTGCACAGTTAGATTTAACGCGGTTAGTTAATATGGAGACGTTATGCTGATGGAGACTTAACGTGGTTCTAWTGTGAAAAGCCTGCAGGAAGTAGTTCGTAGTGGAGTTGGAATTGACTGGTGTGTAAGGTGAGTCATGCTGATAAGCTTTAATAAACAACATAAAAACAATAAACCCGATCAGAATCTTTTCTTAACCCTCCTCCTTCACAACTGGACCAAAATACATGACTACTGTCTCCAACCACCAGTCAGAGAAGAACAGACACAGAGGAGGGAAACAGAGACAGAGGTACAGTAAAAGAAAAAAGTCAATAAGCAGGCATACATGTCAACCTCTTCGGACGTTTACTTTTATAAAAAGCCTCAAAAATCCGTACAACTCACACGGTGGGGGTGTGCAGCGGCTGCGGACATGAAAGCGCCCGCTGAGCAGCAGGAGGAGAGGAGAGCGGAAAAAGTTCAAAACTTATTTCTAGCGGCAGAAGAGGTTAAAAGATGGCTGTTTGATGTTATTTATTGTTTTTTAAAATCATCCTACAGGCTCTGACATGTTAGATAAATTTGAAAATCAGGTTTTGAAAAAATCCGTAAGACTTGAAAAGATCCGTGAGATTACTCTATATGTCCGTATACCTGCAAAATGACGTTAAAGCCTTATAACTTACAATCTGTACAAGTTGACATGTATGAGCAGGGTTTGTACATTTTATTATCAGCTGAGCTGTGATGAAAAGAAAAATACCGTCAAACACCGTGAAACTGGTGAAAATGTTGAAAATACCGTGATATAAAATTTTGATCATATCGCCCAGCCCTAATTTGTAACAAACCACCACCAGCCAAATGCTTTAAGACACCTTCTCAATCAATGTTTTTATTTTTGTTCCTACCATGCTAATTAATACTCAAGTCATCCATCCAGACAATGATGGAACACATAAGGAATCATGAAGCAAACTTAAGTGTTAAATAAACCCAAATATGTGTTAGATTCTTCAAAGTAAAACATTTTATGATGTTAACTACCGCTGTGCCCCTCTCTCTGGCTTTCCCTCCCTCCGTCGGCTCCATCCACGTTAACTACAGCTCTTGGCTTTCCCGCTGTCGTTGTAATAACAACAACAACAATAATTTTGCCAATAGTTGCTGGCTGCATTAGGCTTTATTGTTTTGACATTCTACGATTATCACCTTTTAATGTGATCCAGGCCTCGTCTTCAAACTTCTAAATACTTTTGTAATGTTTGTTTTTCTTATCATGTTTCTGTACCTTGTGTTCCTTGATATTCTGCTCGACTTCAGTATTCATTTACAATTTAGAAAAAAATAAAAGGAAACCAATGAATGAGGTGTGTCTAAACTTGAGTGGTGGTGAATGTTTAGCTGTAAAACAGTCTACTGAAGGCTTACTACCAAGGCTAACAGCAATGCTATTTAACAAGCTAAATTTGTCTTTTTTTTTTAATATGCGACATAAAACTTGATTAGATTTAAGGAGCAGATTCTGTATTGCAGGACTATGTCTTTTTTAGAGGAGCAGTTATCATTCAGCATGTTTTCTATAGGTCATTCCAAAACAACAGCAGAGCACCTGACAGCCACAGTTACACACTCTTAAGTTGGAGGGATTTTTAAACAGCCACACTAGGATGAGGAGAAATAATCTGAAGTAGCTATTAGGAATTTTTATCAGTCTAAAGCAAAAAAAGAAATAAGAAAAAGAAAACACTTTTCAGAAGTGTCAGATTTTTCTGATTGTACACTTCACCTCACACCTGTTCAAGGCCAGATTGTGTACTCTCACTTTTCACTGAGGATACGACAATGACACATGAGCCTGTTTAGGTCCTGTGGTCACAGTGGCTAGACAATACACACACCGTATTAATTACTGCTCCCTCCTGTCAACACTGCTCAGTGCTCAGCTGTGCTGACAGTTGTTATCTGCAGTGCAGCTGCTGTTCTTGTGCTGGTTATTACTCACCAATCTCTCCTTCATCGGTTAGGTCAAACTCAGCATATTTATCTGCAAAACAAACACACGCAGATTGTTATTTAGAATAGAAACTCATTCCTACCACACACACACCCCTACATCCTAAAGTACAAAAAAGTATCTAGCTAGTATCTGACATGTCAGCAAAACACCTGTCATTTCCTGTCCAGCATCAGCTCTAAACTTTGCTGACAGCAAAAGTCTTCAAGGAAGAAACCAAACGCTGACATGCAAAGATGTTTCTGAAAGTTGACAACATTTTAAAAATAAATCTGATCCTTCTAGATTTGCAACACTGAGATCAATAAAGGCTACAAAGAAGATCCCACATTCATAAAGAAAAAAAAACTATACAAAATTTAAGAATCCTGAATTTTTTTTGTTTTGTAATATTTTACAGTTTTGTACTTTGTTCATTGGAAGCAAATTGTAATGAGTTTTGATTAATCATGCTGAGAAAATCCCTAATTTGATATTAACATTAAACAAAACTTGTACTAAACTAAAAAAAGGAATTTTTTTCACTTAAAAACCTGTAGCTATTTTCCCACATAAATCAAGTAAAACAGAATAAATCTTTCATGTGATGCCAAAATATGTCTCTAGCAGCAAATGTGTTGGGTTTCTGAAAAAACTGAAACCCAACACATCTTAATCTTAGGTTTCCACAGAATACATTAAATCTTAAAATTGAAGGGTGCATGCCAGATTTTCTGTTTTATGAAGTCAAAATACCTTTATATCCATAAAAACAATGGAAAAGCTCATTTGAAACAGCACTTGCTTTTACTTTAAACAGCCCTTTACATCATTGAGGTGATTGCTTCTAGTAAAGAGAATTTTTGTCCTCCCCAAATTTCCCTCCTTTCTCTTTTCTCTAGAAGATCCCTGTAGTTAGATTACATTTGCTATTTCTGTCTTACAATGGAAGCTCTGTGTGTTTTGGATGGGGTAGAGGGGGAGCAGGATGGGACAATGCCCACCCTGTTCAAAAACTCTCAGGAGTGGGCCTCCATGCAGACAAACAACTTTTTGAGAGGACCACTTGTCGTAGTGCAGCCTGTTGATCATCTGCAGCCACGGAAAACGTCTGAGGAACAGAACTTAAAAACCTCCCGTTTTTTTTTACAACTGATCTAGTTTTGTTCATAAAATAAAACGAGATTAGAAACAAAGATGTATTTTTTGTTTCTTATAAACACAGCTTGTGACTAAAGCAACTCAGGTATTTTGATTTGACCTGAGTTACTGGTTGACAGGTTTGTCAACCACTTGGGCAGCAGTTTTCTGAAGGGGTTTTTCCCATTTGAAAGAGGATTGTTGATGAAATAACTTCAAGCGTATGATAACACCAGTGACTTCCTCTTGTTGTTTTAGCCAGAAGATAAGGGATTTCCCAGTCATGGACCTTCATGAGAGCAAAACTGCTCTGTTTGTAAAAAAAATTCCATTCTTCCTGCTGAGATTTTTGGGGACGGCTAAAAAAAAAGACAAAAAAGTCTTTCTATGCTGTTATGATAACGTTAAGCATGAGCTACAGGAAGAAAAAAAAAGTACACAAACTTTACAAAACAGAAACTAAGTTGACACTTCGAACACCCACAAGCATTAGCTCATTAACACAATCCTTATGACAAATATTCTAGCTTTTCCTCCAACAAAATGCAACAAAGTGAGACATAGGAAATTTATTTTCTAGCACATGCTCATTAATCCATAATCTGGTCTCAGAAGGTGTTCAGGCCTGGGCTCTGTGGAGCCAAACCATGTGTGAAAATGATGTCTCATGCTCCCTGAACCAGTCACTCACAATTTCAGCCCAATGAATCCTGCTATTGTCATCTTGGAGCACGCCATGCCATCAGCAAAGAAAAAAAAAATCCATTAATGGAAAACCCTGATCACCTTTGGGCACATAACTTTGCTGAACCAGATCATTGTACTGCCCCCCACAGGCTTGTTCCAACCCTCACCTATGTTCATGAGCTATGGGTCAAGACCAAAAAAAAAACAACATCCTGGATACAAACAACTTGAATGAGTTTCCTCCATAGACTAGCTGGGGCTCAGCCTTAAAGAAAAGATGAGGACCTCCATCATTCGGGGGGAGCTTGGAGCAGAGCCACTGCCCCCTGGACACTTCCCTTTGTCGGTAGAGTAGACCACATTCATGGCAGGCTTCCAAAAATCCATAAAATTAATGAGATCATTACAGAGTTCAACCAATTAAGAAATAATAGAAACTTCTTGCAGCATGCACGCAAGAAAAGATAAACAGTGATATGAACCCATCAGTCGATACATAAGTTTTGATGCTGACCTTTGGTTCACTAGGACAGTATGAGAGAAATAAGGGAAAAACACAGCAAGCCTCCCAGGACTTTCTTGCCTGGCCTCTTTCTGTTTATATATTGTTGCTCCATTTCCTCCAGCAAGCCTACACGAAGTAGGACACTGTAGCATATTTCCCATTTTTTAAGAATTGCACCCCATTTTAGAATAAACAGCCATGTGTCACTCCGTCCTGAACATTACATTACATCTTACAGAGATCAATACTTTACAAACTCCACACGTTTCTTTTTAACAGCTGAGAAATGCTAAGTGCTTGCAAATTGTGAAAGTTTGTTACTGCAAATTAGTTAGCAAAAATATTTTCTCTCCTCCCAGGAGCTTTTCGGTTTAACTCAGCCAGGTTCTGAATATTGAAACAACAAGTGGAGGAACGCCCCAGCACATTCCTCTCAGGCCACTGAGGACGTGGCCCTGCAAACATTTAGAAATCAAAGCGGTCCACGAGTCCCACAGACAAAAACAAAATGCTTGTGACTAAAATGTTTATGTGGGTGTGCAGCCTGCAACAAAGAAACAAATGCCGAAGGTAGAACAAAAACCCGGAGAAAAGAATGCAAACTCAAAAGGGCAACAAAGATGGTAGATAATGAGGCAGATGAGGGGAGAACTGATTTACTCACTCTTCAAGCCTTCCAATTTTTCAGCCAGGCCTTCCTCATCTTTGTATTTCTGGTCCTCCAGGTATTCCTGAGAAGGATGAAGACAACAGATAACACTGATCAAAGCCGCACAGAAAACAGGTTTCTACAAGTTGGGATGAAACCAGATGTTCTTTATGATCTTCTGAAAGCATTTCTAACTCAAAGCCTTGCATTTGAAGGAATGCTTTTCACCCACCTCTTTTTCGCCACAGTTCTAAGATCATAATTTGTTGAGAAATACTGTAGTTGTTGAAATATTAAAACAAAAACAAGTATTGTCATGCAATTTTGCAGAATCTTTTTGCTTTACATTGGGGATTACTCTCAGCTACCATCACGTTTCACTTAACCATTTCTGTATCAGCAAAGGTCATTTAGCTGTGGCAGCCATCTTGAACATAAATGGTTTCAAAAGTCTATGAGTTTCAGATGTTTAATGATTATTCTCCATGAGTTTGAATAAAATCAGTCCACTGGTTCATGAGATAGTTTACTATCACAACTGAACAAACATGCCCTCCTACACACACACACACACACACACACAGAGAAAAAACAAGATCGCCCACAGAGATTCTCAAGACCCCAGCAGGGTTACACAATGTAAAACGAAAGGAGGTGCATTCCAGAAAGTATTAAAGCTGCTGTATGTAGTTTCTTGGGAACCCAAAAACTTAGAAAAATTTTGAACAGAAACAACCTTGTAGTCCCTCCCCCTGCTCTCAGCTCCCCTTCCTA